AAGGATGTCAGACTGCAGCTTAGGCCTGCTCTCTACTGGCAAATGGACATCCCTCCAGGGCTCCCAGGCTGCCAGAGGGATGTCTGACTACCAGCCAAGGCCCAATCCCCTGGGGAGCAGGCCTAAACCAGCAGGTGGTCATCCCCAGAGGGTCCCAGACTGTGAGAGGGCACAGGCCAGGCTGAGGGACCCCCCCCCATCAAGTGCACAAATTTTTGTGCACCGGGACTCTAGTGTTACATAAACTGCAACCCCACCTTCTCATCCTTTCCCTCCTCTTTCCCAGGCATAAGCACTCTCCTGTAGGGGGAGGGTCTATCTGGTACTTCTTATCTTCTGCTTGTATTCATAACTGATATGTTGTGTAGTTTTATATTTTAAAATGTACAGAAATGGGTCATGTTTTTGGAAACAGGCTTTTCTTTTAAAGAAAGAACTCAACTCTTTTATGGTCTGCTTTTTGCTAGTTTTGGTTTGTCACGTCTCCCACATCTCCCCTCCAGGCCCCAACTACCTCTCCTAGCAGGTGTCTCTCTAGCTGCCTGCTCTAACAGTTTCTCTGTGGATCTATTAATACAGAACATGGAGCTGCTGGCTCTAGGGCAAGGACATCTTTAATGATCATGGAAATTGCCAGGTTACTCATCTCAGTGGTTATGCTAATCCACATATCTGTCCATGAAAATAAAATTTGCTTCCCAGCTTCTCACCACCCTTGGTGATATACCACATCCCTCGGTGCTATAAATTCCTGTGTTACCCACAGTGAACTCACTGAATAAAAATAAGAAGGAGACAGCATGCTGTTGTATTGACAGCAACTAACTCTTCATGATTCATTTTTACTATAGCATTTTGCAGGCTTTGGGGCAAGCATGTATCAGGTTGACACGTCTCTCCTAAAAAAGCTACTTGGAATTCACTCTCTTGTAGGAGATTTGAGCCCATCTTTTTCAGTAACTGAGAGAACAAAGTGGTCAGTGAGGATATAGGACATGAACCATGTCCTAGAAGCTTGATGAACAGACCTGCATATGATATTGTAATACAGTTTTCCAAGCACACATGCCTAAGTGGGCTGTGTGTCTCCTGTCTGCCCATCATCTCACAGCTCCCACCTCCACGTCCACCTGCCCTCCCTCACCTGTGCTCCTTCATGGTCCACTCTACATGAAGGGGCTCTGAGTCCCTCTCCCCAACAGCAGGAATGGGGAGGGGAGGCTGAGTTCCCCCACAGACAGCCCAGCAGTGGTGTTCTGAGGGGTGGGGGTCAGGGAGGACCTCATACTCCCACCTCTTGGGTCCTGATCTGGAGTTGATGGCCAGGACACTGCCTGCTCCTTCAGGTCCTAAGAGAACCTGTGTCATGGAAATAACACATCTCTCCTAATTCTTCCAGGTAGGACAATTCTTGAAATATCCCAGGGGACCCATCTCCCTCTGTGGAAGGCCCAGTCTGGAAAGTTCCACAGCAACTCAGGCCATTCCACCTGAACAGATCCTGTGACAGGAGCTTTAGGGTTATAGGCTCATGACCATTTTTCTTAGGGCTACACCTGGGGCAGGGGCAACTGGGCCCTGAGATTCCAGCCTACATGGTCCACCCCTCTCCCCAGTGATGGACCCTGGGGTTGTTTCCGGGTCATGAGTCTATGCCTTCATACCCTCTAGCCAGTGAGGATCCTCCTGGGGACCCAGATGTCTGCTCCAGTAGCTCAACCCTGAGCAAATCTAAAGAGTATTTGAGGGCTGGAGCAGGAGGTGGAGCCAGGGCTCTGGCATCTTGGATTAACCCATGATGGCAGATGGGGAAGTCCAGTCCTTGTGCTCAGGCAGGGACTCTGAGGATGAGACAGAAGCCTCCCTCCAGTGGCATCTATGAGGATGATACAGAAGCCAGGCCGGTATCCAGCTCTGCTTGTCTGCACCCTCACAGATTCTTCATACACATGGTTAAATGGATGTGGGACACCACACAACTGAAGCATGTCACCCTGTGTGACACCTGGGGTCAGAACATGTTCCTGCAGACCAGGGCCTGGTGTCAGCATGGGAGGAGGGCAGCAAGTGCCCACAGCTGTCCCAGGGATGAGCCATTACCCTCGTACAGTCAGGAGGGAGGACAGGGCTCTCCTAACAGGGAGGGGTCTTGGGACAGCATGGAGGTAACATCTGGGTTCCATCTTGGCTGAAAGAAGTCCATCTCCGAGGCCTGACGTGACTCCTTGCTTTCAGTAAAATTCCGTAGTTGAAACTAACCTAACCGCATCCTTAAAGGAAAGAATATAGGATGATAACATCCTTTCTTGACATCCTGTTCTGCAAAATAGTTTTTTTGTTGATTAAATGGTAGCTAGAATGTTTGCACAAGCATTATTCTACAGGCCCTTTGGGTGGTCCACTGACCATGGGAAAACCCTGGACTACCCTGGGACCAGCCACCACCAGATGAGGCTCATGGGACAGCTGACCTCATCCTCATGCCCAAGCCCTGCACCCACCCCAAGACCCCCATATAAGCCACCCACAGGAACCCTCGGGGAACTCCACTTCTTTTCTGGTTGATTCCCTTGTGCACAAGCTTTTTTCTTTTTTCAATAAACTCTATCTGCTTGAGATTGTACTGGGTTCAGTGCTCAGTTCTGATACTGAGACTCAAAGACCAGGCATTCAAGGTCCTGTAACATCCTGACCCCCATTCATGTCCAAAATATCACAGCCCTCCCCATCCCTACCATGTGAGGTTATGTCTTGTCTCCCCAGGACACGGGCAGCAGCCTGTATCCTTCCTCTTCTCACAGAGCCCTGACCTGGCAGAAATCCCAGGTGGAGTTACTACCATGGGAAAAGGAAGCCCACCCTGACCTCAAAGGAATCAGGGGATGACTCCCATTCCTAAGGTCCTTGGTCTATGGGACACTTTCCTGTGGTCCCTGAAGACATCTCACCAGCCCATGGTGTCCTGGGGAACAAGGGGACTTCCCATGCAGGATGGGACAGGAGAATCTAGGATCTGGGGGTTCTTCCATCTCAGAGGGGCTGAGGGTCCCCAGGGCCTCCTCTCCCCTAACAGAGGGACCCACAGGATCCCTGGTTGACACTTTACATGGAGCTGCCCCAGATCCTGGGCCCTGTGGGGAGGCCTAGAGCAGATGACAGACAGGGACACAGATGACTTGGATGCAGTGCCTCAGTGCTGTGAAGGGGACACACAGGGCATTCTCGGGATCAGTCCTTCAGGCTGGCACACTCTCCTGTAAGCCTTAAGAGACCCCTCACCAGGCCTTTCCTTGGAAATCTCGGGGACAAGGAGCTCCTCCTAAAACAGCATATTCCCCTGGGGGACAGTTCTCATGACACTGGATCCGGACTCCTTTGGACAACGCCTGTCCTCTCCCTGCACTCACCCTGCCCTGGGATGAAGTCAGGCAGCCTGAGACCCACCGTGACTGGCCACTCAGCCTGGAGGTCAGAGCCCACCTCTCCCAGGCCTCAGGGTCAGCTCACAGCATCTGGAGCCTGGTCAGCATCCCTGGCGCTGTCCCTGACATTGGCTGCAGGTCTCCTTCATGACCTCCAGGTGGCAACATGGAGACACGCAGACAGCACACCGGAAATGCACACGTGAACCTGTCCTTGGCTAAGGAGGTGCAGAAGGAGCCTGATTTCCATCCCCTGCTCCAACAGGCCCTTCTGGGCTCCTCCCTAGTATCCGGCTCCTTCTAGGGGCCTTGGAGCACCTGCTCTCTCAGGGGTCTCAGTGCTGCTCCCCCACCCCATGCCTGGCACCACCCATGGGGAAGGCAGGGTGATCACAGGAATGTCCCCCAGGCAGAGGAGGGACAGAGGCTGCTCTGACCATCAGGGAGCACATGGACAGGCTCTGAGCCACAGCTCAGCCAACAGGCACAGAGAGGGAGGGTCTCCTTGAACCTGAGGACCAGGGAGCCCACAGCCATCTGACCACCAAGCACAGTCCTCACTTGAGAGGACACACAGGACACCTACACCTTCACCCCGGGAACTTCCGGTCCTTCTGAGACACCTGGTCCTGGTCTCTGCGCGGGAAGCAAGGGCCAGGCGGGTGACAGCTGGAGATAGAGAGGGGCTCCCCTCCCCGTCATCATTCAGCTGACCCCTTTCTCACCCCAGAGTCACCTCTGTGGCCTTCCAGCTGGGAGGAAATCCAACCTTCCCAGTGCATTTGAGAACACAGGGAAGACCCAGATGGGTTTCTGTGTCAAAAATGGAGTAATCCCCAGGTTTGGGGACGCCTGGAGCTGTCTGTGTTGGTGACAGACCCAAGGCCTCTCCACAGCAGAGGCCAAGGCTGTGTGCAGAGTCTTAGGTCCACCACACACCTGCCCAGTCAGAATCTGCATTTGAACAGGATCTGGAGACCCTCTCTGTGCACAGGAGATGGGGAGCGGCTGCCCCACCCACACAGCATGGGTCTCAGCCTGGCGGGCATCCACCTTAGCTGGGCAGCTGCTGAAGCAGCATTTCTATGGTGCCACCTGGGCATTGCAATCTTTACCAAGTTCCACAGGTGATTCTCACGCATGACGGGAGATGACATTCCTGTGACAAGAGTTCCTGATGCGGCCCCAGGCTCCTATTTCTTAAGGGAAAAGTTCCAAGTGATGAAAGGGGCTCTGGAGATGTCTGAGACCCCG